CCAGCCCCCACACCCCTTTCCCCACCTCTGCCCGCCAGGTATTTGTGAACTTTGCCAAGAAGCAGAGCGACAACTTGGAGCAGCAGGAGACAGAGCCGCCTTCAGCCCTGCAGTCCCCACTGGGCCGCCTGCTCAGCCTGTTCCGGACACGGCCTGCCCCCACCGAGCTGCGGGCACTTGTGACCGATGAGCCCGAGGACCTGGACACAGAGGACGAGGGCCTCATCAGCTTTGAGGAGGAACGGGTGAGCAGCCCGTTGAGGGCTCAGGGCGCCAGGCTGGCCAGAGGCTCCGGGCTGTGGGGGGAGTGGTCACAGCGAATCCTGCTGCTCCGAGCTCAAGGGGACAAAGGGACCCACCTGATGCTCAGGGCTAGCGTGGACATGGGAGTCACGGGCACAGGCAGGGGACACGCTCCCACTGCAGACCTTTCAACACATGGAAACTTCAAGGGGCCTCGGAGATAGGTAGAGCAGAGGTGGACGGGGACAGAAGAGCTGTAGACTAGGAGAGCTCGGGTGGTGGGGGGAGGGAGATAGAGGCTGGAGACACCATGTCCAGTCCTGGCGTGGGGGAGTGCTGGGTGCCAGATGCCTCCCTGAACCTGGCCTGCCCGCCGTCTACCAGGCCCAGCTCTCCTTCAACACGGACACGCTCTGCTGACCACCAGGCGCTGGCTCAAGGACACGGCTGAGGAAACAGAAGTCAGGCAGTGGCCCAGGCCCCACCCCGTGCCCCCAGCGCCCCTCCACGGCGCCCTGGAGTGCGAGGTCCAGGACCAAAGGCTTCACGCCCCCTCCAGCCCCCTGCCTGTCCTCAACCCTACCCATGCGGCCACTATGCCACCCTCCCCTCATTGTGCCAAAGGCTGGCCTGGCCCTGGGCTGTGACACCCTCACCCTGCTCTGCCTTAAAGCCTTCGGGCGAGAGCCCCTCACCTCTGCCCCTGCCCAGCTCTGCCCACCACCCCCAGGGCCACTGGGGTGACACGGGTTGCTAGGTACCGCTGGCCCCTCTCCTGGCTGGGCCTGGGCCTGGCTTCCTGAACCGGCTTTTATACCCAATTTGGAAGGCGGCTGTTGCAGGCCTGGGGCTGAGTATGGGTGGGTTAGGTCCTACCCCCAGGCACCTATTTATTTTGCTATAGGAAGCGGCTTCCTCACCTGGTCTCATGCTGGGAGGTCATTACTGAGGGGCTGCCGCAGGGCAGCGGGCTGG